ATTTTTGTTTTGTTTCCAGATTCCATTTTTCGAGTTAGAGAACCTACAAAATAGCACAAAGATGGCAGAATATCTACACAAAAAAATCTTTCCTCATACGTATGGACTCGGCTGCTGACACTGGAGAATAATATTAAATCACAGGTTGACAGGCTGACCTCCTGTACTATAAAGTGTAAATATTGCGCATGGAAGAACAATACTATTTTTTAAATAGCTCCACCTAAGATGATTTGGGCTTCTGAATGTGAGACCTTCCAGTATTTGGAACAACTCACTTGTAAAGAGTAATAAAGAGCAATATATTTTATTAAATTTTGCATATTTATTTTAAGTTAACAGATTAACTGCCAGACAGTGCTGTGTTTCTTTGTATTTTCACTGGTTTCACTCATTACTACAAATGGACAGACATGAATATGCAAGATACTGGCTGGTGCTGAAAGCACAGGAATGTGCCATGCTGCCTACCAATCAGGGCTTTTCTTGATAGTATAAAAAGAAATTGTGCTACTTACTTCTAGCTGTTTGTGTGATTTCCCAAGTGGTTCATAAAACTAAAATGTGTAGTGGTTGCACAACCAGTATGGGCTTGTTGCTTATTCTGAAGAGCTGTAGAGGGCTGTTCCCTAAATAGCAATACCTTGCAGAAAGTCAGAGTGTTTTTATTAAAAATTATTTGGTTCACTACGTAAAAGAACAGCTGCCACAGGGTAGTGGACTTGCACAGTGGTCTCTGTGGGAGCCACCCTTTCTTCTAGGTATGTAGAATTTGTAGTTTTGTTTTTGGTGGCAGTTTTGGTTAAACTGGCTAACTGGGGTCATCTTAGTGGTCCAGAGTTCCTTTAGTTCACAGCCTGCTGTTTGAGCCTGAACTGAAACTCGTTATGCTCTGAAGCTCAGAGAAGCTATGTCCTAGGCAGACCTTTTTTACAGGTGACTGAATCTGGCAGAAGGGTGGAACTGAGAACTGGAACCAGTAATCACTTCAGCGGGAACAAGCATGCCCTTGGATCAATCAGTTGATCAGTTCAGCTTTACAGATGGATGAAGTAAAAAACGGTACTTCCATTTAGTGGTCAGGGCAAACTAAAACCCAGAGAACCAAATTGCTCTCTGTTATTCCACTTCATCCCCCAGGAGAAGACAAAAGGACAACAAGGAAGAGAGATTTCAAATGTAACAGAACAGGGAAGGGATAGTAATGAGGGATAATAATGAAAATACACAAATATATACAAAACCCTTTCCAGTAGTTGCTGATAGAAGTGTTTGTAAGTGTCTGTCAGTCTCTCACAGCAGAGCTGACTCAGAAGGGTTCAGGGCTCTTCCCATCAACTGATGGAGTTGGATCCTGCAGAACATGTGGTGAGCTGAAGATGAAGAGCAAGAGCATCTCTGCAAGATGTCTGCTGGAAGCAGGAAGGGACAGACTTTGCTGTTCTTGCTTTTATGGTAAGAAATGGGAGGGAACAGAGCCCGTTCTGTTCTGTTCTGGCCCCTGGATTCCCCAGCGTCCTAAATGCCCTCTCTTTAGGTTCTTGTATTGATAGCATAACGCTATCCTGGGCCCCTTCAAACCATAACATAGAGCCTTAGTTCTGATCCCATTATTTGTACTTGACAGACATAAAACACATTTTCAGGTTAGCCTGTGCATCCTGTCCTGTGTGGAAATACTGTTTATGAGTAGCAAAGCAGGATTTGCAACATCAGCTGGTTTGATATTATCTATTATGATTTGATACAAAAAAGGTGCAACTTTTACATCCTTGAAAATTCTATATATTTCACCAGTAGATACAGAACATGGCCATTGTTTCAAAGCTACTGTTTGTAACTTGTGTGTTGTGGGTGTCCATCAATTGTCTCGGTGATACCTGGAGATTTTTGGATGCAAAATCCAGATCCAAAACATGATTTATGTTGTGTTGTGGTATGCATTCTATTCATGTTAATTTGATGCATGTGTAATACCCTTACTCGCAGTAGTAAGTCTGCTCTGAAGGGTGAGGGAGCACCAAGAGGTAAGAATTACAGAATCAAAGAATCCTTAGTATTGGAAAAGACCACTAAGATCATTGAGTCCAACCATACACCCAGGAGGAAAACAAACAAACAAATGAAAAAAACAAACCCACAACAAACACCACCAAACCAACACGTAACACCCAACATGCCCACTAGAGCATGCCCTGAAGTGCCATCTACATGTTTCTTTGAGATCTCCAGGGATGGTGACTCTACCACCTCCCTGGGCAGTCTGTTCCAGTGCCTGACCACTCTTGGTAAATAAATTCTTCCTAATAGCTAGTCAAAACCTCCTCTGGTGCAACTTCGGGCCATTTCCTCTAGTCCCATTTTTATTCTCTTGGGAGAAAAGGCCAGTGCCTGCCTTAGTACACCCTCCTTTCAGGTAGCTGTAGAGAGCAATGAGGTCTCCCCTCAGCCTCCTCCAAACTAAACCCAGTTTCCACTGCCTCTTTTCATAAAACTTGTTATCTAGACTCTTCACCAGCTTTATTGCCCTTCTCTGGACACATGCCAGCACCTCAGTGTCCTTGTAGTGAGGGGCCCAGAACTGAACACAGTACTCAAGGTGAGGCCTCACCAGCACTGAGTACAGGGCAACAATCACTTCCCCAGTCTTACTGGCCACACTATTTCTGATACAAGCCAGGACGCTGTTGGCCTTCTTGGCCACCTGGGCACACTGCTGGCTCATACTCAGCTGGGTGTTGACCAACACCCCCAAGTCCTTTTCCTGTGGGAAGCTTTCCAGCTACTCTTCCCCAAATCTGTAGTGTTGCCTGGGTCTGTTGTGGCCCAAGTGTAGGGCCTGGCACTTGGCTTTATTGAACCTCACGGAATTGGCCTCCACCCATAGACCTAGTAGTCTAGGTTCTCCAACTCTTCAAGCAGGTCAACTCTTCCACCTCTTTTGGTGTCAACTGCAAACTTTCTGAGGGTGCACTCAATCCCCTCGTCTAGATCCATGATAAAGATATTGAATAAGACTAGCTCCAAAACTGAGCCCTGGAGAGCACCACTGGTGACCTGCAGCCAACTGGATTTAACTCCATTAAAGATATACTTTCCAACAGTGTAATAGGGAGCTTACAGCACACAAGTAGCCTAAAAGTTTTTATCTTATCAAAAGAGATTCTGGAGGAGAGTGATTGAAATGTCTCTACAGACATTTGTAAGGAACTTCTCCGTAATACAGAAGAGATCATCAAGGTTTTTATTTTGACACTAACTGAGCACTGCAGGGAGAAGTCAACCACTCAAAACCGATAAAGAAAGAAGTAGCCGAAGGAAAAACCTGTAAAAAGCCTTCAAAAGTGAGGTGGGATGAGAAGGGTCTGGAAGAGTAGGGGGTGACACAAGCAAAGAAATGAGAGGAAAACTCATCCTGGTGTTGATGACTCATGCCTTTCTCCACAGTGGAAGTGAGCTGGTGATGCATATTTCTTCCTCGGGCCAGAAGGTGGTGGTGTTCTCAAACAGATATGATTTCCCGTAGTTTCTTTCAAGCACAGATGGTTTGTAAATATAGTAAGACTACTTAAAACAAGTAATCTGTACTGACTGTCCCAAACTAAAAATAACCTGTCTAGAATATGGCCATATTCCATCTCATTCTTCACTGGTATACATTTGATACTGTTTTTTGGAGAGGCATTCTGGTATTGTTAGAAAACATTTCCTTCTGACTTTGCTTTTGCTGTGATTCCTTTCATTTAACACTGCTGGATTTGTTTAATGAAGTATTTATCGTTGCAAAGGAATGTTTCAGTTACTGTTCTCCTGTCCCTAGCTCATTTAATACAGAGGAACTTGCAGGTCATGAATAATGAAAGTAAATAAACACCTCTGAAAGTAATAAACACCTCTGGGCTGCTCTGAGTGCTCTGCTGCTCACACATGCCAAACAAGTGCTAATTTTTTACTTATTCAGGACTCGTATTAAGAAGCTCTTTGTTTCTATTATTTTTAGTAGGATAATTACTGTGTTCACAATTATACACATTTCCTATGTGTAAGTACGTGACAGAACTCCAGTGTCAGTCAAAGCTGTGGACATCTAGTCCTTGTTCTGCTACAATCAGTCCAGCTGTTCCATCCTGAACAGTACTGCTCCAGCTTTAAACAATAGCAGGATCAATGGCTCTTGAGAACCAACCCGATGCATACCCTGTAGGACATACTCCTGAAATCACCATATAACTTACTACTTGTGTTTTTTTGCATCCTTTCTACCAAAATATTTAGTGCTTGCTCTCCCAGTATTATTTTTTTTCTTTTTTCCATCATTGGATACAGAACCAAAGATGATTTTTCTTGTGGCACTCTTGAACAGATCAGTCCCTCAGACACCATTCATATAGTGGAAGCATAATGGACATCTGAAATCAGCTAAGCCCAGACTTTGTCTATTTAAATGCTAAGTACTTAGAAGTTCCCTTTAACTTGACTTCCACTTGAAGTCTACTGAAACTGCTAAGCGTTTCTCTAAGTCAGATCATTTCTTTACACATCCATTTTGGAAAATCTGGGTCGAATCCCCATTTCAACTGCTGTGCAGGTAAAATAACATCTTGCAATTTTGTAGCAACACTATAAGGATTAAGAAATTTGTGACCACTGATACTTTGAGGAGCAAGCTCGTTTAAATGTTAAGTCTGTGCACAGCTATGCAGACGCACTGGCTAAAATAGCAGAGAGAGAGCTGTAGACCCAACAGGTCTCATTTCCAGTCTTGCAGCCTAAAACATTCAGCTCTTGCTGATGTTCTTCTTTATGAGATTTCAATGAGACTGTAACAAGACATGTTTGAAGTAGCACGAAGAAAAGCATAGCTGCTGTTTCATCCTATTTTTAATCCATATTATTCTGATTAGCAAAAATGTGGAGAAAAAGGGAAAAGCACCATATTGCTTTTTGATGCTAGGTGTTGGGTTTTTTTCCACATAAACGTTGCAGGTAGAAAAGATTTATCATAGATCCATGCTTGGAGAAGATTTTTCCGATAAGCAGGGGATTCCATTTTTTCTGTAGAATTCTGCCTGCACAAGATTAAACCTTGCATGCTCTCTGACCGGCTGCTCTACAGGCTTATTTATGCGTCTCCCATACTCTGAAGATGACAAAACAGCAACAGGTCTTGCCATTTCCTGTGAAAAAAAAAAATAATTCTCCTTGTCACAAGATCACAGAGGGAATGCTTGGCAGTCATCTACTGCTAAATGTGCTGTGGCCAGGGGCGAAATGACAGAACTGTATGGCATCTACTATATGGATCTATATTTATTTAGCAGTGATTTTCAGTGTTACTGTTCCATCCCTGACCTACTTTTATATGTATATTAATAAACCATGAATGCATCACTAGATGACAAGATTATAAAATATGGAGCTGTGCCAGGAGTTACTGCAGACTTACCATTTTTTACACACACACACACGCACAGGTGATGACCATGTAGTTACTGGCAATCCAAATGTTATGTTACTGGAAAGCGGCAGATTTCATTGTTATTTTTGTTTTTCTTGTGCACTGACTTGCATGATTTATTTGAAAAACAGGAGAGATTTAATTTGTATCCCCTGTTACAGGAACACCTACTCTCCTTGGACAATTCAGTGAAACCACTGCATGAAAAAAATCAAAGCTTAAAGAAACCATTTGTTTACACAAGCTTTCCCTGAAGGACATAAAGCATTTACTACTGTATTTTCACCCAATGAAAGGTTTTACTAAAAATGCTTGTAGCTGTAAGGTTATAGAAATAACTGTTCTGCAATGATGGCATGTGGACTTGGTGAAAAATAACCTGACCAAGAACAGATTATTTTAAGCTTGTTCTTAGTAAACTGTTTTTTAAGTGACTGTGCAATCACTATCTGCAATCTGCAGTTCTTTCCTGTGCTACAGCAATGGGGAGCCCTGGACTCTGAAGGGAAGGACAAGGATTTGTTTGTTTTTCTTTCCCT